GTGGGATTAGTTTGGGGATTGATACAGGGCTATGGGGAGAGAGCGGGACAGTGGGATTAGTTTGGGGATTGATACGGGCTATGGGGAACGGTGGGATTAATACAGGACTGAACTACAAGCTAAAATGGACAGAACGGGCCATCAAACACAGGGTGAAACTAACAGGGGGTATAGTCAGGGCAGCTGGACTCACCTTCCGGATCGTCCCCGTCGAGGCTGGGAGCTGGTCCCCATATCCGAACCGTGCCATCATCAGAGGCGCTGGCCAGCATGGAGGGTATCTGTGGGTTCCAGCTCACACAGTTAACCGTGCGTGTGTGCCCCGTCAGTTCTGCCACAGGCAACTCGCTCTTCCTGTGCCAGATATAGACTTTGTGGTCTGCACAAACAATCAAAGGTGTTTGGCCTGTTTGAAAAACAGTACTCTCGAAGCAGCGTCAAGGGAACAAACGTGCATTGCTATAGCGCCCCTTTTAACACTTCAGAATGCTCCCAAAGTTACAGCGAACACAATAATTCTGGAAGTCTAGTCACTGTTGTAACAGCAAGCTGCCACAAATAGCAAAGCGATAATCACTGCTTAAAATCTTGCATTGAGAGATAAATCTTGGGCCCCAGAATATGTGGGAGCACCCCCTCTGCTCTTCCTCTGATAGCGGCTGCAGGGTGTTTTATATCCACTCGAGAACCAGAACCGGGTCTCTGTTCAACATCTCATTCCAAAGACAACTTCTCCCATAGTGGCTGCGCTCCATCAGGCCTGGGCCGCTTCACATGGACCTAGACTTCGAGGCTCAAGTCAGAGCGACAACGGACTACTCGACTGAAGCAGGCATCGCGGCCAGCTGTGATCCCGTCCCTGCACTTCCAGGGAGAACAAATGGATGCTCACGACCTTTCTATACCAACCCCCTTCACTAAAGAAAACCCATCCCTGACTGTTTCGTCCAGGGGACTCCCCTCTCACTTCAAATCCACACACCCCACTTTCCTGTCCCCAAACGCCACTCACCCTCACTCCCGCTCGCTATGAAATCCTCGCTCATGCCTCCGAGACAAGAATGAATGGTGTAGAAACCCTGGGTGACGCCCTGGTACTTCTGGAGTAAGACCCGGTCTTGTAAATCCCAGAGATGAACCCCCTGGAAGGGGGAGGAGGAGAGACAGAGGAGAAAGAGCGTTAGTGGAAAAGGTGAAGGGGAAAACGTTCGAGGAAGTGTGCCTGCTCTCTCCAAACGCAGGCAGAGGTGTAGACCATTCGGCCCCTCGATCCTGCTTGGCCATTCGACGTGTTCAGAACTAACCTCACAATGGCCTTCATCTCCTGGCTGTCTCCCTGACCCCGCCGCCCCCCCCCCCCCCCCCCCCCCCCCACCCAAGCCTTGTTGATCAAATTTGCTCAAGCCCACCCTGAATATAGGTAATAACAGCCTCTATTGCTCCTTGGTGGACGTGGATTCCAGAATCTACTGACCCTCCAAAAGGAAATTCCTCTTTGCCTCCCATTTTAAACGGGAGGTCCTTTTCGTTTGAATCTGTGTGTCCCCTAGTTTCCAGATTCCCTCCCACAGTCCGAAGACGGGCTGGTTAGGGTGGATTGGCCATGCTAAATTGCCTATAATATCCAGGATGTGCAGGCCAGACGGATTACCCATGGGAATTGCAGGGTTACAGGGATAGGGTAGGGAGAGTCGGTGTGGACTTGATGGCTCGAATGGCCTGCTTCCACACTGTGGGGATTCTATGATTCTAGATGCAGCAACACTGCATCGCTGCTCCATTTCATGGTCTTTGCAATAAGGCCCAAGATTGCAATCACTAACATTTTGCCACGGTGCTCTCAGACGTTCCAAGATCAGATAGCCCAACCGTATGGATGTTGCAATATGGGGTGGGGGGTGACTACTGGTGGTTGTGAAACCCCCCCACACACGCGCACACACGCTCTGAGGCTCACCTGTGTAGCGACATTGAGCAAGGCTAACCGTCCGTTTCTGGAAACCGTGAAAGACATGACAGGATGGTCCTCTTGCACACTGTAAGGAACCGCAAGGAGGAAGAGAGCCCAATCAGTTAGAGACAGAGGGGTCACAATTCAGAGCAACCAGCGAGCTGAGTCTTTGGGAGTGTCACAGTTCAAGGGTGAAGGGTGAAGGGTCAGTGCACACAGGCACCAAGCTCCTCTGTAAGACAGCACTCTGTTCTGTATAGCACTGCTGTGCAATTTCCATTTCTCGTTTACTACATAAACTTCCTATGTAAACATGTCATGCTGCAACAGCGCAATTGGCCTGCTGAGTGATGGGATGTAGTAACAGTGTGACATATTTATATAAGAACGTTCCATGGTGTGGAAGGAGAGAGAGAGACTAATAGGATAACGGCCAATGCAGACAACAGGCCAAGCAGCCTCCTGTTGGACTATAAAGTTGCACTAAACAGTAGTTCAGTTTTTACAGGACACATTGTCACGACACTGCAATGTCAGATAGAGGTTGTGAAAGCATAACAATGCAAGATTCTAAATAAAAACCAAGAGAACTGCGGATGCTGTAAATCAGGAACAAAAACAGAAGCTGCTGGAAAAGCTCAGCAGGTCTGGCAGCATCTGTGAAGAAAAAGTCAGAGTCAATGTTTCGGATCTGGTGACCCTTCCTCAGAATGCAATATTCTAATCTGTTCCCATAGCGCTAGAACATCACCACAATCCTTCAGCTGCTGCTCTGCATTGTACAGTATTACAGTACATGCACAGAGCTAAACAGTCGAGA